ACTACAGGCATGCGTTACCACGCCCAGCTAATTTTTTGATTTATTGTAGAGATGAGGTCTACCATGTCGCCCAAGCTGGTCTCAAACCTGCAGGCTCAGGCGATCCTCCACCGCCCCACTCTTTTTTTTTTTTCAGTCAAGGTCTCACTCTGTCTCCCAGGCTAGAGTGTAGTAGCATGATCACAACTCACTTCAGCCATGAACTCCTGGGCTCAGGTGATCCTCCAACCTCAGCCTCCTGAGTGGCTGGGACTATAGGTACATGCCACCATGTCCAGCTAACTTTTCGATTTTTTTGTAGAGACGTGTTCTCACTATGTTGCTTGGGCTAGACTTGAACTCATGGGCTCAAGCAATTCTCCCGTCTCAGCCTCCCAAAGTGCTGGGATTACAGGTGTGAGCCACCATATCTAACCTCCTACTCTTGTTTCAGAGTTTATGGGGTGCAAATCCTAGTGGGATTAGGACTTCCTGGAAGTTACTCCTTCTCATGCTTCTGTTAGCTCTCCCTGAAATGAGTGTTGTAGGTAGGAAGAAATGAAATATTCTGTGGCTACGTTATCCTTTTTTTTTTTTTTTTTTTTGAGTCAGAGTTTTACTCTGTCACCCAGGTTGGAGTACAGTGGCACACTCATGGCCACCGTAGTCTTGACATGCTGGGCTCAAATGATCTTTCTGCCTCAGCCTTCCAGGTAATTGGAACCACAGGCACGCACCACCATGCCCGGCTAATTTTTTAATTTTGTAGAGACGAGATCTTGCCAAGTTGCCCAGGCTGGTCTTGAACCCCTCGACTCAGGCAATCCTCTCACCTTGGCCTCCCAAAGTGCTGGGATTACAGGTGTGAGCCACTGTACCCAGCTGCTATGCTATTCTTAACTGCATATGTCTTAGCACAGGCAGGTTATCATTTCCTGTTCTGGAAGCAGGTTGATAAGAAGTCTGTCACCTGTTCAGCCACCAAGACCCTAAGTTTCTCTACATCTTAGGCTCCTTAAAGATAGTGTTTATCTGGCTAGGCTTGGTGGTTCATGTCTGTAATCCCAGCAGTTTGGGAGGCTGAGGTGGGAGGATCGTTTGAGACCAGGAGTTCCAGTCAGCCTGGGCAACATAGCAAGACCCTATGTCTATAAACAATAAATGAAAAATTAGCTATAAAACCACCTATTCAGGAGGTTGAGGTGGCAGGATTGCTTGAGTCCAGGAGTTCAAGGCTGCAGTGAGCTATAATTGTGCTACTGCACTCCAGCCTAGTTGACAAAGTGAGACCTTGTCTCTAAAAAAGGTGTGTGTGTGTGTGTGTAGGGGTGGCTTATTTTTTAATGTTTTCTCTGCCTTTAGGCCTGGTACAGAAATAAAAAAATCTACTTCTTAGAGTTTATGGCATTTAAAAGTCTGAAAAGTGCTTAGACTAAATATAGTAGGTTATCTCTTTTTTTTTTTTGAGTTGGAGTCTCACTCTTTGTCGCCCAGGCTGGAGTGCAGGGTCACGCTCACGGCCACCGCAGCTTCCCCCTTGGCCTGCTGGGCTCAGGCGATCCTTTCGCCTCAAGCTTCCAAGTAGCCGGAACTACAGATGTATGACACCATGTCTGGCTAGTTTTTGTGATTTGTTGTAGAGATGAAAGCTTGCCAAGTTGCCCAGGCTGGTCTCAACCCCTAGGCTCAGGCACTCCTCTTGTCTTGGCCTCCCAAAGTGCGGGGATTACAGGCTGAGCCGCTGCGCCTAGCTGGGTTTATCTTTTAGTTGCGATCTTGAAGTTGTTTTATTTTAAACCTATTTCAGTGCCCAATTAATGGCATTGTGGGGTTGAGTCAGTAGATAGTTCTAGATGGCAATTTACAAAATGTACAAAACTTTTAAGTTTGTGACTTTCCATTGCTTGCATGGCTTCCACATGTGGGTGGCTGTGTGGAGAACTGTGTTTGCCAGAGATCCTCCGCTCGGGGGCGGCCGGAACATGTGTGGTGGTTCAGACATCCTTCCTCTGTTCTCCACCAGGCTGATGAGCACAGGCCAAGGGTGAAGATGATCCTTTCTCTGTAGCCATTCTGGGTCCACATCGTCTCCAGGTAGAATTGCCCATATCTGCCTTGTGCCTGGGTAGACTCCACACAGGGCGCCTGCCACTGTCTATTGCAATGACTTGAAGAGATATCCCTGCCGGGCACGGTGGCTCATGCCTGGAGTCCCAGCACTGTGGGAGGCCGAGGTGAGAGGATTGCTTGAGCCCAGGCATTTGAGAACAGCCTGGGCAGCATAAGAAGACCTCATCTGTGCCATAAATTAAAAAAAGAAAGTTAGCTGGGCTTGGGGTACGTGCCTGTAGATCCAGCAATTTGGAAGACTGAGATGGTGACAGAGTGAGACTTCGTCTCAAAAAAAACCAAAACAAACTCTTTCTCTTGAGAAGTCGCTTTCAGTGGCCTTTGCCTCTTGGCGTGTAGAACGATGTGATGTGGAAACGTGAATCCCCCCTGTTGTGCATCCTCATGTGCCCTGTGCTGTCTCCACAGAGATCGTGGACGGGAACGTGAAGATGACCCTGGGCATGATCTGGACCATCATCCTGCGCTTTGCCATCCAGGACATCTCCGTGGAAGGTGGGCTTCTACCTTGTCCCACCCTCCCCTGCCTCCACCCTTTCTTGTCTGGTCCCTGGGCTCAGCCTGGAGGACTCCTTCACCCGGTGCAAGGGACACTGACTGGGGCCACGTCCTGGGCCAGTGCCTGGTTGGAGGAGAGAAACGAGAACCGTTTGGGGTGCTGGTTTCCATAGGCGTGTTGGCCCCAGGGAGACTGCCTGCTTTGAAAAAGCCACAGCTGCCATAGGGGGTGTATTGGAAACCTTGCCTGGCTCTTGGGTTGTTGATAGAATATGGAAGGGTGGGGAAAATTAGCAGCCAGGAGGGCGTGCCCAGAGGGGCCAACCCCCCACTCGCTCTCCACCCCTCCACTTTGCTCCTATAGCACCCTCTAGTGGTGGCTTCTCAGATCTGCTAGGACCACCAAGGTCTGGACCAGTGATGTCTAAACTTTTGATCCCAGCAGTTTTTGAGCCTTATGTCTGATATGCATATACTATTTTGTAAATTTGTCTATTCTATATGCATGATAAAACACACATACCAAAGCACATTTTTAAAGAATGAGGCAAGACAGAATATTTTCAGAAATTTTTAAAAATTCATTTCAATGGCATAGAAATTATAAACATTTTTTTCAAAGGAGTTTCTGAATGAGCACAATATGGGCTAAATTACTTTGTTCTGGAAATCTGGGTCTGGTACCCCGGGATACAGCAGTGTGAAGGCCTGAGTCTGGTTTTTAGGTACTTGGTATGTGGGGCTGAAGTGGCCAGAAGGAGGCTCAGCCTCTAGTGGTCACTTAGAGTGTGGCTCTTGTTAGTGACAGTGGATGCCAGTGCATATTTCTTTTTTTTTTTTTTTTGAACAACAACAGATATGTTTATTTGGCCTGCAGAGTTTCAAAAAAATGTATTAGCTGCCAACATTTTTTTTTTTTTTTTTTTTAATAATTAATCAGTATTTTTA